CCCTGTGCCGATTGTGGATGTGGGCGGGCGGTGAGTGTGAGGCGGGGAGGAGGTGCGGCGTGAAGAGCGTGGATGCTGGCGGGCGGGTCTGGCGGCGGCGAGCGTGAGATGGGGAGGGCGTGCAGCGCGTGTGGAGCCGTGAACAGGGCCAACTGATCGGAAGCCGATTAATCGATTATTGAAAAAGTTGACAACTTTTTCAATAATCGATTATAATCGATTATGTCGATTAGTTGTTGCAGCCCTAGTTGGGAAATGTGACGCTTAGTGACAGTGACATTGTATGCCAGGTGACCACTATTAGCTTTTAGAGAAAACAAATAAAATTTTGGCTTTCAGTTTTAGGCTGAGAAGTACAGAAACATTTCTGAAACCCCAGGGATGTGAGGTGTTTCCAAATAAAGGACAAATTAAATGAATGTATTTTAATGCATTTTTTTTTTAGCTGTGCTATTTTTCTAAAAAATAATAAAACTAGGGAAAAAGTGTTTTCTTCATGTTTTTTTTCCTCAATTGTTTTGTATATTTTATTCATCCTAAGTGAGGCGTTAGGTACACATATGTGATATATATATATATATATATATATATAGCCCTATCTGTCCTCTAAAAAACAATATATAATATGTGTGGGTGCACTTAGTAAGGACGTATATTACTGCTGTGGAAGAATCGCACAGCAAAAATGTAAAAAGTGCGTCAGTCATTAACAAACAAACTTTAAAAAAAAAAAAAAGCTAAGCTAAATATGAAAAGTACTGAAATTGTGTGGCCGTGTTCACCAGTTAGCAGATTTTTCTTATCAGGTCGTATCCACTGGTGACACTTTGCAGCCCTCCAGCTACAGCTAAACTGAAATGCATGCTTCCCATTATTACAATGACATGCCTAAAATAAAACAAATTGTATTTTTAGGTAATCCATTTTAAGAAATATTATTGTTAAATGTTTTCATTGCCCAGTTTGTCATTTGTTATATATTGGGGGCAGTGTAGCTTAATGGTTTCATTGTCTTCATTGTGTCTGACCCACTTCTACTCACACCTGCAGGCGTATCAGCGTTTACAACTCCAGCAGCAGATGTTACAGGCTCAGCGTAATGTTTCCGGACCCATGAGGCAACAGGAGCAGCAAGTAGGTCAAACCTGCTTATCTGGTGCGCACAGCTCTGTCCATAAACTCAAGTGTTGATGTAGATTGCCTTCTGCACGGTGTTGTAGGCTATGCATAATTTGTGGTAGCCTGGTAAATGCGTTCTTGTGTATATGAAATGCCTTATCCCATTTTATGGAATGGATAAATATTTGAGCGTTTGGAAATAATGAAAGATTTTTCTGTTTATTCAAATGTAAACTTGGAATTGTACTATAATTCTTGTGCAATGAATTATAAGAAATACTTTCATTTTGCGGACAGAGTTTTACGACAAGTGATTGCTTGGAGCGTGCACAATTGTTTTATCTTCAGAGAGCAGAGGAAAATGAAAAACCCTCGGCTTTTAAGAACAAGTATTTTTGTTATTTTTTGTGTGTCCTGCCTTTAGAAATTACAGAATCTGTTACAGCAGACGTTGCTTGATTAATAATTCATTTATTTAATTTAACACCTTTTCAAAAATAAACCCTTAATCAAATCAGAGCCACTCACTATTGAAAAAGTTTACTTTTATATTACGGGAGCACAATGTTGTATATGTATGGGCATTGTATTAAAGGCGAGCTATGAGGAGTGTGAATCACTCAGTCTCATAGTTGGAGCCGACGTGTGACAATGAAACTGTCACACGTCGGCTCAATAGATTGGGAAGTGAGTGAACACATACCGTCGCACGCTCACTTCTTGATCATGTCCCTGCAGAGAGCCGTGACTGTCACTCACGGCTCCCTGAAAGGATTCCCCGCTCCGATCCTCAAGCGCTGACTGGCGGAACGGATGAGGGAGGGGGCTGGTACAGCTGGCTCTGCCTCTAGATAGGCAGAGCCAGCTGTCAATCACGCAGCTGGGTGGATCTCGACAGTAATGTCGGGATCCGTCCCGGCTGCGGCGATCTCAGTATACCGCGAGCTGTAGCTCACGGTATATTGAGCTTTGGGTCTCGGGAGGACACTAGTTTGTGTCCTCCCGTGACCATGGGGAGAACTATGGGGAAAAGCACTGACCCCATAGTTCTCCTTTTAAACCTTCACTTGTACCCTTAAAGGAGAACTATGGGGTTAAGGCTTTTCCCCATAGTTCTCCTTAGGGTAACGGGAGGACACAAACTAGCGTCCTCCCGTCACCCTAGGCTCAGTATGCTGCGAGCTGTAGCTCGCGGTATACTGAGATGCCGCAGTATACCGTGAGCGGCTGCTCGCGGTATACTGAGACGCCGCAGTATACCGTGAGCGGCTGCTCGCGGTATACTGAGACGC